ATATGCATATGTACACCTGAAACAAAAGTTTCAGGAAACAGTACTTTATTATCTCTTGTATAAAAAGTTACTTCAGAACTTTCTGGATTAAAATTAACTCAAACATTTCACAGTTGTTATTGAAAAATGTAGCTGGGTGGTTCTGGCTCAAGTATTTCATGAGGTTGCAGTCAAGATGTCAGCTGAGTCTGTGGTAATCTGAAGGACTGACTGGAGCTGGAGGATCCTTTTCCAAGCTTTCTCACATAGTTGTTCTCAGGAGGCCTCCATTCCTCACTGTGTGGCTCTTCTCTGTAAGGAAGCTTGAATAGTCTTACAACATGGTAGCTAGCTCCCTCCAGAGTGTAGGATCCAAGAGAATGACCAAGACAGAAGTCCCAGTGTCTTTCATGAGTTTGTCTTGAAAGTGATACATCATCAGAAGCAAATTAGTAAGTCTAGTCCACATTGAGAGAGTAATTTGCTTCCCCTCTTGAAGGAGGAGTGTCAAAGAATTTATGGACGTACCTTAAAATTACCTCAAATACTTGTCAGGAGTGTGAGTCCTGGTCTCTTCTTTCCTGCACACCTTTCTGGGTATGCTAAGAATGCAAGGCCGAGTGCTCTTAACCTGGGCCATTTCTCAGGGTGTGTTTGTTGCAACCCTCCTGTAGGGATAAAGTAATGTGCCCTCTTGGGACAGCAGGATTACTGCTTACTGTAAAAGTGGTGAATTCTTAAGATGCAATGTTCATCAGGTGTGATGCAAACCCACTGCCTGTGTAGCATCTGTCTGGGCCCCTCTCAGTCACCTTCAGGGGCTTAGGGATAAAATCCACAGTTTGGGAGCCAGTGCAGTATGATGCTTATAGTGCTTGCTGTGCTGTGAGGCATAAAGTTCTCTTGTCTCTGACCCAGAAGACTTGCGTTCTGTCTGACAGGCAGATACTACATAGGGAGCTAACAGAATATTGGATAGGAAGTTAAGGTACTTGTATGGCTCTGGGGCAACATTTTGGACTCAGAATGAAGAGCTGCATGATTTTCTCCAGTAGCAATCAGGATTCCAGATATATAATCAGTGAAGGTGTATCTTTCGGATCAGTCAAGGGCAAGGGAGTTTGGAAAGGGAAATGATGTTCTCAAACTTCTGTGGCATAGTTTATTATAGTATATACACATGTACAATAAACTGAACATGTTAAACATATATAGTTTGATAAACTTTGATATGTATACACCTGTGAAACCATCATCCCATTCAAGATAATGAACATTTTCATCACACTAAAAGTTTCCTCCTACCCCCTTATGATCCATGCCTACCTCAGTCCCATCCTCAGGCACGCACTGATTTTCTTTCTGTCATAATGGATTAGTTGTAGAATTTTTTAAAAATAAGATCATACTGTGTAACTTTTTTTGCTCAGAATTCCTTTTTGTCAGCCACTTAGAGTCCAAGAATTAGTATTTTGTAATTGTGTGTCTAGCATATTTTTAAAATAAACTAATTTTTTAAGACATTCTCTTTCCTAAAGCTCATGAGATTAAAAAGCCAGTATGAGAGGTTCAGACAGAGCCAGTGAGTTTCCTTCTTTTGCCATATAAATGAATGTAATTCTGATAATAACAGACTCCACATGCAGATGTCATTTTGGATTTGAAAGGGATTGAACACTAGAGTGCACCTGCTAATGCTGAAAACTTGGTGTGCATTTTTGTTATTACATCTTATCCTATTCAGCATAGTTTAGTTACTTGACTACATGAAAATAGAGTTCTGCACAAAAGTATTTTTTTCTTAAATGTGGCAGTTTAAAGTTCTGATGGCATGATTCTGGACACTAAATTATTATTCCTTATTTTGTTAGTTTTTCTTGTTCTTTTGCCCACCATCTTTTAAAAAAGACTTTCTCCTTAGTAGGAAGATAAGTGTGACTATTTAAGCTTTATACCTGGGAAAACCTAAGATGTGCCCTGAAGTTTAGGTTTGCAGTGCTAGGTTAGTAGGATGCACTTGCCTGAGAACATGGAAGCCTTTAATATCACATGGACAGCTGAAATAATAACATCAGCAGATGATGGTGATAGGTACTGATGAATTGATGAGAGCCTCCAGGGCTTCAGAAATAGGTGCCTTAATTCAAATATTGACCCTACCACTTAATAGCTGTGTGACTTCAGATTAGTCACTTAATACATATATGTCTCACTTTCTTTCGTAAAATGGAGATGGACAAGGACCTGTGTTATAGGGGGCTTATAAATATTAAATCTTATAATAAAGTTCTTTGCACAATGGTAAACACTAAATGTTGCTTTTAATCATTCAGGGATTCTGGATAATGAATGACTTATTTTAAGCAATATTCAGATTGCTTAAAAAAACCTTTGCATTTCTCTTTGATCTTGACATAGAATTCACTCAAATAGTAATATGCAGATTATTTCTTGTCAGCTGATTTACAGTCCAGATTAATCATGAAAAGAAATTTTTACTTCATGAGCTAGGTTACTCTTCGGAAGGAATTTCCTAATATGACTAACAATATTGTAGTTTCTCAACTTGGTATATATACTATTGCTGTTTCTGAGATGGAACCTTGAAGGTTTGGGCTCTAGTTCTTGTCCTTGTTGTTGTTACCCATACAGTCTTTACTGAATCATTAATACAGAGATGAGGCTGCCAGTTATTCATATTTCTGAAGAGCTTTAACCTGTTTGAGTTTGACTGGATTATATAGCCCCTTTAAAATCTTATTTTTGACCATTTGATTTATTTGGATAGCATTTTCAATGAAGAAACACTTTTATGAGTCAATTCTACGTAACGGTGAATTTTTGAAAGTATTATTTAGTATGCTGAAACTTGTTACTTGATCGAAGCCAGTTCTTGGGTAGAACACTGGGAAATGACAGAAATGTAGTTTATTTAGTTCTGTATTTATCCTTGAGAGAAGTGTGGAAAGTAGATAGCTGTGATAGTGTATTTAAAAAATTTTTTTTATTGTACTTGTAGAATATGAACATATTTTCCTTTTAAACAATTCAAAGCTTTGTAAGTGAAGCTTAAGCCTCCATAAACATTTCCCTCCCAGCCTCCTCTTCCAACACAAGTTCCCTTCCCCTCTGACCATTGCTCTTTCCAAATTGGCATTTTCCATGTAGGAATTCTTTATATTTTTTTCTATACAGATCTTCATACATATGTCAGATATAGTTTTTTTTAAAATTTTGGTGTCATTAATCTACAATCACATGATGAACATTATGNCCCATCCTCCCCAGTCCCTTTCCCTTTGGTAACTGTTAGTCCGTTCTTGGGTTCTGTGATTCTGCTGCTGTTTTATTCCTTCAGTTTTCCTTTGTTCTTATACTCCGCATATGAGTGAAATCATTTGGTACTTGTCTTTCTCCGCCTGGCTTATTTCACTGAGCATAATGCCCTCTAGCTCCATCCATGTTGTTGCAAATGGGAGGATTTGTTTTCTTCCTATGGCTGAATAATATTCCATTGTGTATATGTACCACATCTTTATCCATTCATCTACTGATGATGGATCCAACTTAGGTTGGATGTCAGATATAGTTTTATCTAGTTTTTGGTTTTTCTTTATCTTTGCATATAGTATTTTTTGATATAATATTTTGTCATTTTGACATAATTGTTTTTTTTTTCTCTCTATGGTTTTTGCTTTTTGTTAAAGAAGCCCTACCTTAAGTCAGGCTCACAAATAAATTCTCTTGTTTTCTTCTCGTAGTTTTACTAGTTACGTCTTTAATGTACATAGACTTTATTTCTGTGTAGTATGTGAAGTTCATAATGTAATTTTTTCCCAAGAGCATCAGTTGAAACCTTGTTTATTCAATGATTTTTTTTTCTTGCTGTTTCAAATTGTTACTTTTAGGATATATTAACTCATATATAATTTAGACTCTATTCCTGGGCCAGTACTGTACAGTTTTAATTACTATAGCTTTAAAAGGCTGTGTGAGTCCTTATGAGAAATCCTGGGGGTCAGATGTGGTTTTGGAGTCCAGCCTTTTTTCCCCCCTGTAATACTCTTGAGGGCATTAGGCAGTATCCTGTAATCATACACATTGTTTTCTCAGTGGAGTGTATAAATAATCACTCTAAATGGGACACATATAAACAGTAAGTGACTTCAGATCAAGTAGGTTTTGCTGCTAAATGGGTTAAAATGAAAAAAAATGCCTTACTTTCAGAATTTTGGATTTTTGCATTGCAAATAAAGATCATAGACCTGTAATTTATCTTGCTATTTAAGGACATCTTTCTTCTTCTGTTTTTAGTTGTTTTGTTATTCTTGTACTTTTACTCTTGTATTTGAATTTTATAGTTGGCTTGTTGGGTTATGTGAAGAATCCTGTAGGTGTTTTCATTGGAATTTGAAGTAGTTAGGGAGGAACAGACACCTTTATATTGTTCTTATCATCCATGAACATGGATAACTTTACTTTTGTTCAGGTGTTCTTTCAATAAAGTCTTACGAGTTTTTTTCAAAAATGCTTGGACATTTTTATTAGATTAATATCAGTGTTTTTATGATTTTGTTGCTATTGGAATGGAATTTTTAACATTTCATTTTCTCACTGTTATTACTGATATATAACAAAGAACTGATATTTATATATTGATCTTATGTCTGACCAATTTGTTGGTTCTATTATTAGTTCTGCTAACTTGTCAGCTGATCATCTTGGGTTTTCCAGTTTCAAAATCATATATTCAAATGAGTTTTATCTTTTTCTTGCCAGTCTTTATACCTCTTGTTTCTTTTTCTACTCCATTTGCATGTTATGTTTTGAGTGTTTGCAGTATCCATTTTGAGATGTGAAATATTTTTTAAATGATGTTTACTATGAAATAGATTGTGCTATAAACAAATTTTTAATGCATGAATAAATTGATGACAGATTGTAAGTTGGCTTAATGAAAAATATCTGAGAAAGCAAATGTTTACTGCTGGGGGATATAACATGTGATCTTTTCATTACAGATAATGGTCTAAGATACTTCTTCAAGACTGGGCAGCTGAGGACCTGCTCTTTTTGCTTAGTGTTAAGCCGACTTATAGCCATAGAGAAACCTCACAGAGTTGCATACTGTACTTTCTCTTAACACCTTTCCTGGCACCTGAATTCACCTTACAGCCATGTATGGAAGTGCTCGTTCAGTTGGGAAGGTGGAACCGAGCAGCCAGAGCCCTGGGCGTTCACCTAGGCTTCCACGTTCCCCTCGCTTGGGTCATCGTCGAACCAATAGCACAGGAGGGAGTTCTGGAAGCAGTGTTGGAGGTGGCAGTGGGAAGACCCTTTCAATGGAGAATATCCAATCCTTAAATGCTGCCTATGCCACATCTGGCCCTATGTACCTAAGCGACCATGAAAATGTGGGTTCAGAAACACCTAAAAGCACCATGACACTTGGCCGTTCTGGGGGACGTCTGCCTTATGGTGTTAGGATGACTGCTATGGGCAGTAGCCCCAATATAGCGAGCAGTGGGGTTGCTAGTGACACCATAGCATTTGGAGAGCATCACCTCCCTCCTGTGAGTATGGCATCCACTGTCCCTCACTCTCTTCGCCAGGCAAGAGATAACACAATTATGGACCTGCAGACGCAGCTGAAGGAGGTATTGAGGGAAAATGACCTCTTGCGGAAGGATGTGGAAGTAAAGGAGAGCAAGTTAAGTTCCTCTATGAATAGCATCAAGACCTTCTGGAGCCCAGAGCTGAAGAAAGAACGAGCCTTGCGGAAAGATGAAGCTTCCAAAATCACTATTTGGAAGGAACAGTATAGAGTTGTGCAGGAGGAAAACCAGGTTAGTTTTATCTGTATATTTACTTTTGTTGACTGAATTCATAGATATACGTGAAATGAGACATTCTTTTCATTTTCTTCCTTAGGTTTTTTTCTGTTCTTGGTTTATTTCTCTTCCTACTTATTTTAATATTTTTGTGTTCCATTTCTCAGCCTTTTCCAGATTTGGTCCTGTGCCTTAATTTTTTTCTAATTGCCATGTCTGCTTGCTCACCATTCTTGGCTTATTTACCTGTCTTCTCTTTCTCTTCTTGTCTTTCATCATATATTATCCTTTTTCAATTCTTGTGAGAATATAATTTTGCAACACACTCTGAGATCTGTTGTCAAAATTATTTGGACTGTGTGTTATATGGAGCATAAGATTTACCATAAGAAATCTTTAAAAAGTCAATCAAAAAGACGAAAGAAAGAAAATAATCACAAGCAAATCAGTATGGTTTCTGCACAGAATGGAAATTTGTTATGATGTAAATATTATTAAGTACCAGCAGTGAATGGCAGCTCTTACCCTTGACATTCATGAATATTGAACTTTGGAGGCTTGCTTTCGTTTCTTTTTTTTTTTTTCTTAGGTATTTTATTCTTCAAATTTGAAGTAGAAGAAAGGCCACTTGGTGTGATTGGTTGCTTCTAGAAAAAAAGAGATAACTAGGCAGTATAATTATTGGCTTTGCATTTCAAGAGCTAAGCACTATCTTACTAGATTTATGAAAATTTCATTTATTAGTTTTTGGTACTCTTCCAGTTTATAGTTGGTGTTTTGGCCATAGTCATGTTATATTCATATGACTCCAAAGGTGTGAACAAATCATATTGAAGCTTCAACAAGTAAAATCTTAATTATCCTTGTCTTTTAAAAGACCTTCAGAAATTTCTTAAACTTGTGAGTGAATTATTTGTCTCCTTAAAAAAATTCTCCTGTATTCTTAGAATTTTAAAGTAGCTACCTCATTGTTGGTATTATGCTGTATATTTGGGTTATATTTTGGGTTATTTAATTTCATAAAAATTACGAAGAAAGTAATAAACTTACTGAATTTTAGCAATCTTAAATGATACCAAGATGTAAAGAAGGAATTAGAAATGATCGCTGTCTCTGATGAAGTAAATCTAAGTTTTCTGTTGATTGTTTTACCATTCTATTACTAATGTTCAGTTCAGGCATCAGATCTACTGTTTTGGTTACCTGAAGATCTCTAGTTGTATTATTGTCCTGTGTGCTAAAGCCCCAGACTTAATTTTGCACCAATAAAAGTAGCTTCTTCTTTTCCCATCATAAAAATAATACAGAAAAACATAGATAAAGTAAAATTTACCCCAAATCCTCCCTTCTATAACTTTGATATTCCACTGTTAACATTTTTATGTTTTTCCCTAATGAACTATCTCTGTGCATACACACATACAAATTTTGCATGAATGGAATGTTATAGGTGTTACATTGTGACCTTTTTAAACTAACATTTTTACTGTATGTTAAAGCCTTATGATATATACATGAATCATTATATTTAATGTCTGTAAACTAATGTCTATATATTAGTTAAATTTAACTTATATCACAGTTAAAAATCTTCAGTTTATTTGATAGTACACTGTGAATTAAAAACTAAACCTTGAATCTATTTGAATCAGATTTCAAAATAACTAGAAATTATTATAATTTTTTTCTTTCTCAGATATATCATAACCTCAAACTACTTTGCTTTTCCTTCTTCACCAATGGTTAAGCTTGTCATTACACAAAATCAGAATGTTTTATTAGTGTACTTAAGTCTTTAAGTCTTTTACAGACTCAGTCTTTTTAAAAAAGAGGAAATATATTTTAAAAAGTATGCCTTAGGAAGTTCGTTGAGTCTTCAAGACTTTAAAAATGTATAAAGAAAGAGAATAATTAAAATAGACCCCAGTGTTAGATCCTAAAAATAAGGACAGGGTTCCTGAGTGCTGTCTGTGTATTTCAGTATCAACAAGTGTATTTGTTTAAAATATGTATTCCCAGGCCTTGCTTCATACTAAGTAAATATCTCTGCAGAAGGAGTCCAGGAATCTGTATTTTAAACAAGCTTTTCTGGTGATTCTGATAATAATCCAATATTGGGATCTTCAGGATTTAGCACATTTACTCCTTAAACTAGTCTGTTGCTCATCTGCATAGGGAATTTGTGATGGTTCTGTTGCCACTTTTGAGCTCAGTCGTGAAAGAAGGGAAAAAAACAAGGGACCCATGGGCTCAGTCAGTGCTTCTCATCCTGTTTCATGCCATATTACACCTCAAGGTTGTGACAGACTTCTATACATAAAAATCATTAACTGTGATAGTGGCCTTCAGTGGAAGGAATGTGTGTACAGAAAAGGGGTGTTTAAAATATTAGATATATTTAGTTAAAAAAAGCCATCTAGATGATTTTGAGAATCATTTATGCACAAGATAAAATATTCAGATAATGTATGACAGAATGGGGCAATACTTTTCTTCAGTTAATTTTTAATTGTTGAAAAATGAAGTATAACACCAAAAGTTCATCATTCCTAAATATAAAATAATAGTACATTCTGAAAGTTCTTACAGTTTAATGTTGAATTGTAAATATCAAGAGAGGAAAGAATTTGTTTTATTTAGTCATGTGGTAAAGTGTCAGTGTGGCATGGATCTGAAAAACAGTATCTGTATGTCTAGGGTTGGAAATTAGGTACTTTTAATTTTGTAAAAATGAGTGATAAATTTGGAGTACATACTGATGGTATGTCAGTGCTCAGATTATGAGGTACTTCATATGTATTAAGACAGTTAAGCATCATAATGCATCATAAATACTATCCAAGTTCAAATATATTGTTAATAAAAATCACAATTTACTTGCATTTGAAAAGTGGCTGAGCTATCTGTTGTAAGTATTGTGTAAAGATTATACATGAATAAAACACTTCACTTTAAAGGTTCTACCTTTCAAGAATAGATCGACAGTTTCTGTGTATATAAATGTAAATGTAATGTGTATAAACATTTATAAAATTTAAAGTGAATCTTGATAGAATTTGAATTGTGGTTACTGGATTTGTCATTGAATTAGCTAGCCTCCAATGTATCTTTCTGATGATGCTGAAAATATACCTATCACTGAGATAGTTTTTATTATCAAGCAACTGGGAAATGGCCATTTTTTTTTAAATGAGGGAAAACAATTATTTGCATGCTTCATTTTCAAATAATTGAGGCAGCTAATTATGCCTATACTTTAAAAGCTGTGTGTATAAAAAGCAATGGCAATATCATTTCCAATTATCAGGCTACATTCAAGGACAAAATATTTGACTCCTCTGAAAATTCTGTAGTGGGGACTCAGCATTTTAGCCCAGTAGAAAGGAAATGGTACACACAACTATGGTTCCAAAAAGCCATATGCGCTTATCTAGATTCCGCCCCTTGCCCCAATTCAACACCAGTGCTGGCAAGAAATGTATTCTTCCTGCATCACTGCAATTACCACACAATCCTAAAATTGTATAACTTCAGTCCAAAAAACGAAGGGTGCAATTTTAAAGTAAAGTGAAACACTGCAATGAGATACAGAGAACTGAGAATACTAATTAATAGATTATAGTGAGCCAGCAGTGGGCCCTCATTAAACTCTGCATTCATTATACCCTCCAGAGCCCTCAGAGGTCAGAAATTTTCCAATTTTCAAAGAAGATTGGTTTAACAGGACTTACAAATATTTAAACAAATTAAACCATTTCAATTTGAGACTGGGGATTTAGATGCAGGCTAAATGTTTGATCTGATTGGGCCACAGAGATCTTGGTCTAGAATCATATCAAATGTAAAAACACATTTGTTTAGAATTGCTGAATGTATATGGTTCATTATTATGGAGTTCTTTTTAGGAAGATTCTTTCTAAAATAAATACCAGCTGTTTTTATGTCTCATACTCTTTTTGTTACTCAACTCTCAAATACTGGTCGTTGGAGAGATGAAACCATATATGCTTTAACAGGAAAGGGTTTTTCTTTTTCCTTCTTTAAATTGCGAATGAGGAAGGCTTTTAGTGTATGTTTTCGTGATGAAGAATGAACGTCCAGCTGTGACCCAGTTGAATTGCAGAATGAAGGTTTTGGATGATTTATGTTTTTTATTCTAATCAACATCTAACAAGATGTTGTCATACTAACATCTTTTTGATTGTATTGCCTTGTGATAATTCTGTATGTTGAGTTTAGCTGGAAGCTTAATGATAATTGTTTTAAAGCATTTTCATTGGGTTTTTGTGTGAGCAGAGTACATTCTATTTAATATTATAGTATGGTAAGTGAGTTTGAAGTTTGATTTGTGCTTTTTTTTCTTTTTTGGAGTCTGATTTTATTCAGGATTCTGATTTTTTAATTTTTTTTAAATTTAGGGGTCAAGAGAATTTCAGGTGAAAAAAGACGAAAAGATAAACTTACCCTGTTTAAACCTTTGTTTTGTCATTTCTTCTTACTGGACACTGGTGACAATTAACATTTTTGTAATTTTAGGTTGTAACCTGATTTGTCATGTGTTGAAAGCCATTATTATTTGAATTTAATCATGAGGTTGTTAATTGTTTCACTGTCATTTAAAGTCTGATCTTAAAACCTGGTATCTGTTTTGGACTATTTAACTTTTTGGTAATTCTCTTTGAACATAGAGATGAATTATGAATGATTATTCAGAATATTGTGGATAAATTGATACTCTAGACTATTTTCCAAATAGATTTGATCTTTTTTAGTGTTACAGAAATGGATGTGTTAATTAAAGGCACTATGTGGAATGCCCTGAGAAAATGAAATCAAATGTAAAATAGATATGTTCCTGTTGGGGAGTTAATCATTTTGAGAAGCACATTCATCAATTTTAAGTATACAAGTCACTGATTTTTTTTTAACAGTTACTGTGGTATGCAACTATAACCATAATCCAGTTTTAGAACATTTTCATCAGCAAGTCATAGTTTCTTAAAGTTAGTTGCAAT